CGTCTGGACTTAGTGGACGGCCGTCTAGGGCTCAAAAACAGGGTGGATGGCCGTTTGGTTGTCATGGATGGCCATCTGCATGTTCTGGATGGCCGTCTGGACACTCTGGATGGCCATCTGCATGGTCTGGATGGCCATCTGGACGCTCTGGATGGTCATTTGCATGTTCTGGATGGCCATCTGGACGCTCTAACAAAATTTTATTTTTTATTTTCTCAGAAAACCCTCCTTTTCCTAAATGAAGCCTAGTAAACACTACTAAGGGTCTTATGAAGCCTTATTCATCTTCGGAACGAAGGATTTCTAGTCTTTATTGTGAGGCCGGACAAGATTTGGGGTCTACAGGTGGTATTGTACCATTTGTCGTAGTGAGGGCCATGAGCCCACCAATATGGTCGGAAACCACCACTCAAGGTGATAACCTTCCTCTTTTGGCCCAAAGACTGACAAGGCCCTAGTGCCATGGATGGTCTGAAGGCTGGGAGAGTGGGGACCCTAGAATGGGGGCACCTTGGGGGCCTGGCCTTGGTGAGGAAATTTAGAACTATCTTGAATACACACTCTTCTGCAGGATACCCCTATCTCGTGATAAAAACATCGTCCTATTGTTCGCGGAGGAGTGAATTTTGTGTGCATTTGTTTGTTTCATAGCATAATCATACAACAGAAAAATAAAAGAAAAATCTCTCAAAAATCTTTTCACAATAAACACCCTTATCTCGGACAGTTTGCCTTTTAGCTATCCTGGTTTCAGTTTCTTTGTAAGCTATGTAGCCACGTAGTCCGACAGAAGAGATAAGGGATGTTAAGAGCATTATTTTGTAATAATCCAACATTATCTCGAACAATCTTCATTTTAGCTAGCCTGGTTTCAGGTTTTTTGTAAGCTAAGTAGCCACGTTGACCTACAGAAGAGATAAAGGGGTCACAAAACGAATAAAAAAATAAAATAATGGAATTTAATAAAACGATTTTGACAATGTCCAATCATTCATATCGCATCATTTCATAAGTGGAAAAACTAGGAGAGAAAATAAGCGCACAAAGAAAGAAAGCATATGCATAAACACATTCATGCCAGGGGGCATTAAGATATCTCTAAGACAAAGACGAAAGAGGCCCTGAGCACATTTGTGACCATCCATAAAGAAGGGACAAGTGTGCTAAGCTATATGGTGACCTTCGTTATACTTGTCAAAACCATGATGGGGAAGGAACCATTACACCAAAGCGGGTATGACACTCCACAAAGCGCAAGCTTTAAGGATGATACCTAAGTCATTTTCTAAGAAGATACTAATCCCACACCTATCATTCATCTCCATTAATAAAATTCATTTCGGCATCTTAGAAAGTGGCTGGTCTTCCCATAATCCGAACCCGTGCACAGAAGGCTAAGGCAATGGAGCACCTGGAGGAACAGAACTACAAACTTACTGCTGAGGTTAGCGCCCTGAGAGAGCAAATGGCGTAGATGATGGAAGTCATGCACCAACAAAAACTCAACAAAGGGGAAACCCATGGTGACCATGCCTCTCGCCATGAGGAGGGCTTACTTGCCCCAAGTTCCCAGTCAAGTTCCTAGACTTCCCCAAGTCTGCAGGGCTTACTTGCCCCAAAAATCATCTCACGATGTACTGTCGTAAGATGGCTGCACATGCTGAGAATGAGAAACTCCTGATCCACTGCTTCCAAGAGAGCCTGACTGACTCACCTCTCAACTAGTACATGCAACTGGAGAAGGGGCAAGTCCAAAATTGGAAGTAGCTAGCAGACGCCTTTCTCCGTCATTACCGATACAATATTGATATGACCCCCGATAGGTAAGATCTTAGAACTTTGAGCAAGAGGAATGACGAGCCCTTCAAGGCATATGCCCAGCGATGGAGGGAGATGGCTGCCCAGGTAGAGCCCCCACTAACAGACAAGGAAATGGTGGCCATGTTCATTGATTCGCTGACAGGGCCTTATTATGACAAGGCGATAGCAAGCACATCCAACCTCTTCTCAGACATGGTCACCATCGGGGAAAGGGTGGAGCAAGGGTTAAGAAGCGGGAAGATGGCGCGATCCTCCTCCTCCAGCGTTTCTTTCAAAAATCCCTTTAGCAAAAAGAAGGAAGAGGTTGTGCATGCAATCAATTTCACTACTCCTTCCTCCACTCCGCAGACAGTCCAACAGTCACGAAAAAAGGAAAGAAAGTTTACTCCTCTTTCGACCTCTTATGGGAAATTGCTTCCCCAATTGCTGGAGGCCAAGCTATTGGCTCGTGTTCCTCCTAAGAAGATGGAGCCTCCCTACCCCGAGTGGTATAAACCTAATGAAAAATGTGATTACCACTCGGATGTGCTCGGGCACTCAACGAATAACTGCTTGACCTTGAAATATAAGGTCCAAGAGCTAATAGACGCCGGGTGGATAAATTTTGACGCTCCTACCTCTGATGTAGATATCAAACCTCTATCAAAACCAGAGTGAGAGGAGGGTCGGATTAGGAGGATAAGCTGTTAGAGCTATTTTTCTATTTTAAAAGCTTTTCTTGTATTTCCTATGGTCCCTGCCCGTGGTCGTAGGATCACCGATTAAAAGGGCATGTATACACTCTTTTTTTAATACATGAGGCATTTTTCCCCCTTTTAATTACTATTCTTCCAAAATAATTGAATAATAAAATCAATGCCTAAAAATAGAACCTAAAAGAAAACAATCATGTCTATGACTGATGAATCTCTGTGTGATCCGCAAAACCGAAGGTGAATGGGTCGAATCCGACAGTGAGCAAGGGACCGTTTCCCCGGACATGCAGAGAATGCTGGAAAAAGAAGCTCTCTCCATACAGCCCCATCAAGAGGAAACAAAAACCATCAATTTGGGACAAGGAGACGATAAGAAAGAAATAAACATTGGCACCCAGATTGACAGTAACATCAGGGAGAGGCTAATACACCTTTTAAGAGGATATGTGGACTGTCGTCGCCGTCAAAAGAGGCGGTCGGAGCGACGCGATGGTTTCGTTCGACCCGCGTTTTTTAAAAGAAATGGTTCAATGACTTTAGGTTGTCCAATAACTGGGCTGGACCTAAAGGTGAGGTTTTCGAAAGGTTCGAGGAGTCGCCACCAATGTTTTTACCAGAAACATTGGAAAAGGAAGAAAAAAAGAAGGCATTGGTTTAGAAAAACCAACTTTGGCCATTACAACCATAGTCGGGTAAGGGAGTTACTTACGTGTAGGAAAGTTATTAGCTTCCCTACAACGCCCCTTTCGGGTTCCCTATGATGGACTGTTTATATGAAGAAATAATAACTATAAATTGTGCTTTTACCCTTCTTCATTTATTGCAGAAATTAAAATATTGACTACATGACCCTAAATGATTAATACACAACAATACTATCTAAAAAGCAGTAAAGTAGGGAAGAGAGTATATAGGAATCTTCGAAGCAAGCTTTTATAGTGAATTCTTTGAAATAGGGTGCTTTTCGGAAATCCCCCGCTCTATAAATGCTTCAAAGGGGTCCTACGAGAATAATTCGAAAGAAGTGTAGAAGGGAAAGTGGAAGAATGTTGTGAAAAGGGTCAGGAAGTGCCCTCCTTTTATAGAAATTCACGCCTGTTAGGTCGGGACCGTCGTCTTGCCTGACAAGGTCGGGACCTCCGTCTTGCCAAATGGGACGGCGGTCTCGCATTCAGCAAGTAGCGAGTGGCGAGACGGTAGTCTCGCGAAACGAGACAACGGTCTCGCCCTTAGCCAACGACGGTCTCGCCAAATGGGACAGCAGTCTCTGCCCTTTAGGTGAAATTTCTTATTTTTCGTGTACAAAAATCCTTCCTATTCTAATATGGGGTCTATTTGATGAATCCTAGGGACCTTTTATGCCTTGCCCATCTTCGAACAGAAGTCTTCTACTCTTTATTTTAAGGCCAGGCAAGATTTGGGGTCTATAGCTGCCCCCCTTCACCTGACAAGCCGACTGTTAATGTCCCAAAAAGATTGATTGGAGGGTGAAGGAGTTAACCCTCTTGCCTTGTCGTCCTTCGGATGTTCCTTCTTGTAGTAGCCGACCCTCTAGACGATAAATATGTGTGTGCCTCTGAGATGCTCCTTCATGTAGTAGCTGAACCCTTTGGACAAAATGGTGTGAACCTTCGGGATGCTCTTTCTTGCGGTAGTCGACCCCTTTGGATGACAAATGGTAGAACCTCAAGATGCTCCTTCTTGCGGTAGCCGACCCCTCGGTTGATGAGTATGAACCCCCATCCGGTTGCTTGTAGCTTGGGGATGCTCCTTCTTATGATAGCCGACCCCTCGGCTGACAAGTGGTAGAACCTCAGGATACTCCTTCTTGCGGTAGCCGATCCCTCGATTGATGAGTATGAACCCCCATCCGGTTGGTGCAATTCACTTTGTAGGACTGGTGGTGGTGGCGGCTTACTACTCTAGCTCATGCGCCGTTTCTTGTGAGGAGTGTTCCTGCTTGATATTCTGTTTTTTTACTTTTCTGGTAAAGTCTTCCTGTGTGCTGGGGATTCTTTGATTTTTGGCTTTTCCTGATGGCCATCCAGCTTGTTGATTGTTGGGGATTCTTTGTTTTTGAGTTTTTGTAGTGGTTATCCGACTTTGCTAGTTGTTAGGGATTTTTGGTGATTTTGGGTAACGCCTCTGAGTAGGTGGGATTTTTTGCTTGTCTGCCTTTTTTCTCTTTGTTGGGAGAATGGTGGCTAATGTTTTGGGATTAATCTCGCCTTTTTCCGCGATTTTATTCTTTTTTTCTCGCAATTTTGGATTTTGGCTTTTTTCTGGTATAGCGCATAAGCCTTTTTACTTTTAAGTCTCTTTTTATTACGCTGGCTTTTTCTTTTTCTGAAGAGAATAAAGACAAACAACTTTACCAAAAGATTTTATTTATATATATATCATGAAATTTGTACAATGATTATATATATATATATATATATATATATATATATATATATATATATATATAATGATGTTCCTAAGGCGGCAGCAGACTCGACTGCGAGGCTGAAGACGACTCAGGAGGAGGAAATTGTCGGAACATGTGTCTCTAAAACTCTTCCTGGCTTCGAATCATGCCGAGCACATGCTGGCCGATCGTATCTAGGCTTTGAATCACTCCCTCCTGCCTCTGGCTGATGGTCTCTAGCCATGTCTCAAAGACGTCCTACCTTAGGGACATATGGTCCAACTGCTGGTGAATGTCATCCATGTGACGCTGGACGCCAGGAAAATCATCCCCGTACTGCTGCTGCTGCTACTGCTCGAATTTCGGGGGTATCAGGAGCTCCTGCGAGCACCGGGTGGAGGGTCACCTGGGACCCCTGCCTGATTAGCATCCCCATGGTGATGAGCATGGACCCACTAATATATTCGGGTCGGAGGATGGAGGGAATGTCCTCCCCGTCGGTGCACCCCCATCTCTCGGCCAGAGGGGTGATGAAGGGAGCCATGAGGATGGCTCCAATGGGGCGACTCCCAAAGTCCTTTAGAGCCTTCAAGAAGAAGTAGTTGGGGTTACACCGGCGTCCTTGTAGCATGCAGTGCAGCACGAAGAGATCGGGATGAGTGATCTTCCCCTAAATCTCCTTCGGTGCATGGATCGTCCCCGCCAATAGCTTATGGCAGATGCGGAGAGGAGGGTTGTAGACCCCAAATCTTGCCCGGACCTCTAATAAAGTCGAAGATTGCCCCTTCTGAAGATGGTTAAGACTTTATCAAGTCCCTAGTAGCTTGTTCTAGGTTCCATTTAGGATAGGAAGGGTTTTTAGAGGCATTAAAAATCGGGAAATCCGCCAGAGACAGCAAATGGCCATCCAGAACAGGCGGATGACCGTCCAGAGCAGGCAGACGACCATCCATGACAAGCAGACGGCCGTCGATGGCAACTTTAAGCCATGGACGGCCGTCCATGTCCACTTTTTGCCCTGGACGGCCGTCTGCTTTGTCCAGACTACCGTCCACCTTTTCCAGGCCCGAATCCCTATAAATAGGGGCCTCATTCCTTCGAATTTTCACACCTTTTCTACTCCTCCACTCTCTTGGAAGCTTTTTGGCACTTGAGAGTGACCCTGAGGATTATTCCAGGGTTCGAGGGAGCTTTCCGATTTCCGTTAATGTTGAAATCGGTTAAGGAAGTCTCTTTTTGAGGCATCCGGCTCTCGGTAGAGTGATTTGTCTTTATTTTGCGAGAGGAGCGTGTTTGTAGAGTGCGGGGACTGCCAAAAAGCGTCCTCACGTTTTTGAAGAGTTAATATAAAGCTCGCTTCGGAGGTTCCTTCTCTATTCTCTGTCTTTATTACTACTTTCTTTATTGCTTTCTTTGTGTGCATTAGATAATAGAACCATGTAGATATTTAAATTTTGCAAGTAGATCAAATAATAGGGTAAAAATGTAATTTCTTTAAGCGTTTATTTTCTAAGTTAGTCCATCATAGGGAACCCGAAAGGGGCGTTGTGGGGGTGCTAACACCTTCCCCACACGTAACTAACTCCCTTACCTGACTCTGGTTGTAATGGCCAAAGTTGGTTTTTTCTAAAACCACTGCCTTCTTCTTTTTTACCTTTTTCAGTGTTTAAGGTTAAAACACTGATGGCGACTCCTCAAACCTATTCGAAAACCTCGCCTTTAGGTCTAGCCCGGTTATCGGGCGGCCTAAAGGCGTTGAACCGTTTCTTTCAAAGAAAACGCGATTCATATAAAAACCATCGCGTCGCTCCGACCGCCTCTTCTGATAGTGGTGACAAGGGCTAAGTGCGACCCTTTCATCAGGGCCGGTAGAATCTGTGACTTGGTGAGATCCTCCCATATCTCACTGGTTGTAGGGCAATCGGCCGCTCATAGATGGCTCCCTGATATTCCGGCGTCAGAGTGTCCGCGGGCTGGTTGAAGCCGATGGTGACGTTGAACTCATCCAACGTCATCGTCCGGTAGGTCCCGTTCATGTAGTACGAGACTATCCTTGCTGGAGGGACACCCGGGAATATCGTAGGCATGTCGATCATCGTGACGGAGGCGAGGAACTCAATCACGGCTTGCTTGTAGATGTGGGTCGGAGGGTCCTGGAGGAGGAAGTCACACCCGATGCTATGGATGTTTCCCCGTACATCCTCTTCCCAACCAAACTCGGCCAGGATACCGTAGTCTAACCGTAGCATGGGGTGCCAAGAGTAGCCCTTGATGTGTTCCAGCCTGGCCTGGTGTTGCGGCGTGAGCTGAGTAGGATCTGGAGGAGCCTTTGGTGCGGAAGCGCTCGGGTCGGGCCCCTAACCTCTCTTTCGGGACTTGGAAGATTCTCCTTGTTGCATTTTGGGCAAAGACACTAAAAAATGTATGAGAAGATGCAGGAATGCAGTGCTTTAAACTGACCCAAAAGCCCCCTTTATGTAGAAAATTTCATCTTTGGTCAGGACTGCCGTCTGGAATGTCGAGATGGCAGTCTCGCCCTTTGCGATGTGGCGAGATGGTCGTCTTGCCCAGTGAGAAGGCAGTCTCGCCTTTAGCAAATGGCGAGACGGCAGTCTCGCTTTCAGCGAATGACGAGACGGTGGTATCGCCATTGATGGATGGAGAGACGGCGGTCTGGGCCATCCGAAGGGATTTTTTTTTCTTTTAGGAAAATATAGGACCTTGTTCAAAAACATCTATGCATGCAATGTTTTCTTGTTTTGTGTCCTATAATCCTACTTCATTGATTTTTTTTCATAATGATTAACTAGTGTGTCTTTTGAAGACGAGGTCCTTCTGATGTCATTTTTTAACTGTACTTATTTGTACTATTTCAGACTGAATATGACCGAAGAATAACTGTTGGTTGAGGAGCAAACTTGCCATGTCGGTGCGTTTTTTCCTTCCTCTAGAGATTTCAATCATCTTGTTGATTATATGCCTCCATATTCCCCGACTAATTATCATAATGTTATGATAAGGGTCAAGAGAAGAGAAGTAAGCGGATAATTTATTCAAAGGCTTGTGTTTTAGACGATTCAATTTATTTAAAAGGGGTTTTGTAAGAATGGCTGGCCAAGGTTGGTCAGAGTGTTTAAGCTGATGTTAAACAAACGTCTCGTTTTGAGGATTTGCATCTTAGCCAATTTCTATTGCCTTCTATGGCTGATTGACTTCCCCAGACTGCCCTTTGGGTTTTCAGACTAGGATATTGTGCTTTGGCCCTAACTTTTGTCTAGGTTCCTATTTTCTTATTTTGGGAATCCTAGCGGACCTTATTTTGTAACCTAACTTCTGCCTAGGTTACCCTTTATTGTTGTTCAGGTTTCCTAGCGGGTCAACCCTAATTTTTGCGTAACCCCCTTGGTGGGTTTCCTACCGGGTAATTAGCCCCCTTTTTTTGTTTTGGCCTTTTGACTTCTATGGGCATCTTTTGATTTATAATTGTTTTACGCAATATTGGCGAAACACGGTTTTATTATGATGCGGTAAAACCTTATTCTATGTTTCTAGTCAATCAGCTTGATTATTATTGCGACGGTGTGTTTTGATTTTTTCGATGCACTTTGAAAACGTTTGCTTAAACATGGTTATTACAAGGTCTAGTGTAGACCCCTAGTTTTGCCCGGCCTCTCAAAATAAAAGCTAGAGGAATTTCACTCGAAGATGGAGTTCATCCAGCTTCCCAAAACCGAGAAGGATCTCCTGCAACAAGACGGAGTTCACTCATTCACACAATAAAGACTAAAGAGACTTCTTACACAAAGACAAAGCTCGCCCGACATCTTAATGAAGGCCAAGAAGACTTCCTATATGAAGATAAAGCTTCAACGGACACACATCGGCATCAATCTACGTCCGAAAAAGGAAAGGAAAGCTTCCCGGGGTCCCAGAACGCGAAGACTGGACAAAACAGGCCGAGATCACCGTCCCAGGGTTGGGACGGCCGTCCCAACCTCTTAAATTCAGTTGGGACGCGCGTCCCAAAGTTGGGACGGCCGTCCCAAACCCATTTTAAGTGGGACGGCCGTCCCGGCCTTCCTAGGGGTCCCGCTCTGTGTAAATTTGCCATTTGGGACGGCCATCCCAGTCCAGACGGCCGTCCCAACCCAGACGGCCGTCCCAAAGTGCGCCAGCTGCGAAAAACTATAAATAGGAGGCTCATTTGCCACTTTTTCACACCTCAGACACCACAGACACTCCAGAGAGCTCTGAAACACTTTAGAGCACTTGTCTACTTCTCTCCCTCTCTCGAATGATCTTTCCGATTGCCCTAAATAGGTAACAATCGGTTAAGGAATTATATTCCGACATTTGATTCTTCTTTAAATTTTTAGTGGAGTCGATCTTGTATTGGTGAGGAGAGACTGTGTAGAGAGAGGGGTTGCCAAAACGCATCCTCACAGTTCGAGATTCTCAATATAAAGCTTGCTACGGAGGTTCTTTTCAATTCCCTTCTCTTTTATTGTTTTTGTTTTATTGTTTTATTTAGCTTTATTATGTCATGTAGAATAGGATCATGTAGATAGCTATTTTAATATCTCTTTTATTGCTTTATTTAGCTTTATTCATCATTTTATGCATGCAACATAGAATAAAATCATGTAGATAGCCATTTAATATTATGTAATAAAATAGGGTAATCGCGTAATTTCTCGTAGTCTTTATTTAAATGAATTAATCTGTCATAGGGAACCCGAAAGGGGCGTTGTGGGGTGCTAACACCTTCCCCACACGTAACTAACTCCCTTACCCAACTCTGGTTATAATGGCCAAGTGCGGTTTTTCTTAAAATCAACATTTTTTCCTTTTCCAATGTTTAAGGTCAAAACATTGGTGGCGACTCCATAAGAATCCCTTTTCGAAAACCTTTTAAAACAAAAAACGCGAGTCTAAACCATCTTTTCGCGACCGCTCGCATAAACGTTTCGAGACGTCCTCCGGACGTCGAAAGGGACGGCGGCGACAGATGGCGACTCCACTGGGGAAGCTAGAGAGTTGATCCCATTTAGTGACAGATAAATTCAAACTAATTAAAGATTTGAAATTACGCCTTTACCCTTCTGTATGTTTTTATTGTATGGCTTTATATAACTGCTGTATGATTATTTCTGCAATTGTTTGAAATATAAATTGCACACTAAAACCCTTGCACACAACAGTCCCTCTATACCCGGGGGTAAGAGTGAAT